TTTGTCCAGTTCTGGGCCCGCAGTTGGGGTCCAGTGGGTGACATTACTGGTACAGCACTCATGAGCGAGCCCAGGAGCCCCCCAAGTGAATTTTTACAGTTTAATCACTAACATTCATGACATTTATCCTATGTGCCAACCACTTCAGTGAGCCATGTCCTAAAATCCCCACCATTCTGGGATGATGCTTTGTGTGTCATCCCCATTTTACAGATGTGGGAACCTACCCTGGAAGGGCATTTTCCTAAAGGCACACGGCTGGCGAGAGGCAGAGATGCCTTTTGAACCCAGGGGACGTGACCCTACGGCCCACCTACCCACTGTTTCCAGTTGCTTCTTTTTTTTTAATTTTTTAATGTTTATTTATTTTTGAGAGAGAGAGAGAGACAGAGCATGAGCGGGGGAAGGCAGAGAGAGAGAGGGAGACACGGGATCCAAAGCAGGCTCCAGGCTCAGCTGTCAGCACAGAGCCCGATGTGGGGCTTGGACTTGTGAAGTACGAGATTATGATCTGAGCGGAAGTCGGATGCTTAACCAACTGAGCCACCCAGGTGCCCCTACTTTTTTTGAGAGACAGAAAGAGAGAGTGAATGGGGGAATTAGAGAGAGAGGGAGGGGGAGGGAGAGAGAGAATCCCAAACAGGCTCCACACTGTTAACACAGAGCCCAATGCGGGGCTTGAACTCACAAACTGTGAATACTCAAGAGTCAGAAGCTTAATGTACTGAACCCCCCAGTTACCCCCCCATGGCTTCTGAGCTCCAAAGCCATGGGTGGGTGGGATGCCTTTACGTACACTCACCTACTTCTCTTGGTAACACAGAAATAGTTTAGTGTTATGATCCCATTTTACAGCTGGGAAAACTGAACCTCACAGACGTAAAGCCACTTGTGTGAAGTCACATGAAGTGACAGAGCCTGACCCCGGGTCTGAGGGCCACCAGCATGCTTTTTATCTTCCACGGGCCCAGGACTAGGCTCTTCCCTTTGCAGCCTCTGGGCCCCTTCGCTGCACGGACTACTCGGGTCCCATCAGACAACAGGTCTCCATCCGGCGTGCCCGGGACACCCTGCCTGCCAGCGGAGGGCCTCAGCCCCAGGAGCCCCCAGGACCCTCCGGGGCCTTGGTGCGGTTGTGGACGAGCCAAACGTGGCTCAGGGAGCCTGGAGAGGAAGCAAAAGAGAATGGACTATGTGCAGCTAATTCTGCACGAAGGAACCCCAGACCCAAACAGCGACGCCTCCCTGAGGTCATCGGCCCCCACCCCCCGCCTGTGCATACCACCAGGAGTCAGGAGACTGATCCAAGCCTGTCCCTCTTCCGGGCCTTGCTTGCCCAGGGGGTTGGAGTCAAGGGCAGGAAACCCTCTCCCTCCCCTCCTGGTGCTTCCGTGTCCAGACAGCTCCCTGCCCCACCCCCACCCCCTGAGAGCCGACTTGTAGCCCAGGAGAGAGGACTGGGCTCTCCCGGGAACAGCCACCGGGGAAAGGCAGGCTCACTCCGGCCTGGCGGTCAGTGGCTCTGGGAGGAGCCCGTTAGGGAGCCCCGCATGCGCCGTGCCGCCTCCGCACCTGTAATGCCTACAGTCTCCCCATCAGCCCAGCCAAGTAAGCAGGCTTATCTCCGAATGAAGACAGAAAGCAGATCCTAAGTGCTTGGGGGCCACATGGCCTGGGTCCCCGTCCCGGCTCAGTGCTGTGCGGCTTTGAGCAAATCGCTTCACCTCTCTGAGCCTCGGGTGTTTGCATCCCAACAGCAAAGTTGGTGCAATACAGGCTTCTTCACCTGGGCCCATTGCATCCTGGGAGACCCGTGGGCAAGACTGAGGGAGTTCCCTGAATGGGATGGGGAGAAATTCCCTCCTCATGCCAACCAGCTCACAACGGAAATGCAGCTTTTCCTTCCGTGACGAAGGTGCGGACATTCTTCCAGACGAGTGTCCGCGGGCCCTGTGACCCGTCACGGATCAATGGCCGCCTCTACTGCAAAGTGACAGTAGCTACTAGATCCGTCACCAGGTCTTCTACTCAGTGCATTGATTTCTTAGTTTCCTTTACGGGGGTCCAGGAAGAGGAGAGGATGGTGGGGTCTGTCTACACCCCTGGGCCGTGTGAGGTCCCTCCCTCTGTATGCGCAGCCCTGTGCACCTCGCTGGTTAAAGCACGTGTCGCTCGGCGACTCCCACTGGGAGGAGAGGACCCAGGGGTGTGGGGGAAGGCTGACTCCGAAGGCCCCGCGGGGCAGGGGTGTAGACAGCGCTCTGGGAGAAGGCATCCATTTTTTGTGGCAGAAACTCCTTTCCATGGTTGTTCACCCTCCAAACCTTGGGGTCACCCCCCGCCCCACGCTGCACCCCCACGTGTCGGCACGCCTGTCTGCTCCACCTTCAGATTTGCCCAGAAGCACATCACGGTCCCCACTTCTGCATCTTCAGGTGGCACCCAGCCACCATCACTCCCACTCGGGCAGTTCCTGCGGGCTCCCCTCCGGTCCTGTGTCACCTCTGCATCTTTCGCACCTGCAGCCTCCACCCCAGCAGCTGGAGGAGCTGTCTCCACGCGCAAGTCAGCTCCCCCCGTGCGCAAAACCCCCCAAAGGCACCAATCGGACTCCCAGGAAACATCAAACTCCTTGCACGGGCCTGTGGGGCCTCTCTTCCCCCCTCCCCACCCCCACACTGACTCAGCTCCGGCCGCACCAGCCTCCTTGATCACCCAGAGCATCGTCCCTCTCCAGGACCTTTGCACTTGCTGGCCGCTCTTGTCTGGAAAGGCTTTTGCCCTCATTGCCTTCAGGGTCTTATTTCCACATCGCCGTCTTGCTGAAGATTTCCTTGGTGTGGTGGACGCTGGGATGCACAGCCCACATTCCTCTTCAGGAAGGGCCGGATTGTTCCCCGGCAGCTCTTACGTCGGCCACAGCCCCTTCCAGGGGCAGCCTTGTCCAAGGACTGATCCACACGGGGTGTAAGGGCCTGAGTGTGGGCAATTCTGAAGGCTCGTCCATCCCCAGAGCTCCACGGGGGGCCAGCTGCTGTCTGTTGGCGCCGTCACGGCTCAGCTCCTGCCTCTCCCCGATCCACCTCTCCCCCTCCTCCCACGCACCCTGATCCCAGCTGCCCTCCCGAACCAACACCCTGTGGCTTCCCAGGGAACTGGGGTCGCGAGTCACCCTACCTACCAGCGCACAGCGCGCCTCCTCAGACACGTGCTCACCGACCCCTTCGTCTCCGCCCACTAGCGCCCTCCCCTCTCTTCACACTCAGATTCACTTCCGTGTCTTGTTCATCGTGTGTCCTCCCGCGGGAATGGAAGCCTCATGCGGACAGGAGTGCGTCTGGCTTTGTTTTCCCTTTTTAATTTTTAAAAATATTTATCTACTTTTGGGAGAGAGACGGAGACACAGAATCCGAAGCAGGCTCCAGGCTCTGAGCTGTCAGCACAGAGCCCGACGCGGGGCTCGAACCCACGGACTGCGAGATCATGACCTGAGCCCCCAGGTGCCCCTGTCTTCCTCTGCTTTACCCGCATTTTCCAGAACAGCATCTAGCATTCTCAGCACCCACCCAAAGCTAGTTGAATGAGTGAGTGATAGAAATAGCACGCCGTCTTTGACCTGTGGCCCAAATCCTTTATACAGGCTCTGCGGACCCTGACGTTCTGAGTGAGTGTAATTGGTCGGGGGAACCTGATTCCAGGTCTCGACAACTTGCCGCCGCCAATTTCCATCTGGCTGTGCTCCAGCTGGCACGGGTCCTGATTCTGGCTCGACTCTCCTGACCACCTGAGGACTGCATATTTTTTAGAGATTCATCCACGTCACCCTTTAAAATGTTGGCTGGAACCAAGTGGCTCCCACAGCCATTTCCTTGGTGGCGTTTATGTCTGCTTGAGCTGATCCTGTCCATGCCTCTGCTTGCGTGTGTATTTCTGCCCCCTGTTAGTGGGCGTGTCTTGCTAATTGCTGCAGCCCAGGACCCCCCACTGCACCTGGCACCCCCGGCTGGCCCCATCACCCCTAGCAGCTGGGTGTCGTGTTCCCCTCGCCAAGGCTGGCCGGTCATGCTCTCCGGCACCTCGGGACACCTCTCTGGTACCACTCAAGGTCACGCTGCCTGGTGTTTCACACGCCCCAAAGGAACGCTGGTCCGTGGACTCCTGGTGTCCCTCCCCCATCTCCAACAGGAGCCCCACGGAGCTAAGTCACATCTCTCTCTGTTGTCAGCAAAGCCAGTACAATTAGGACGTGCCATATGCCAGGACTGTCCCTTCCCCCTGGGTGAGTTTTTCCCTGGCGGCTCCTCCGTCATCCATACAAATGGGGGTCCCCAGTGGCTTCATACCACTTGCTCTCTGGACACGCCCCAAGGGTGCCCCGAATGCCAAGTGGATCAGCTCAGGCTTAGGTGATAAAACTCGCACCGCATAGTTCATCAATCGGTGCAACAAATGTAGGCCAGGTGGTGTTCCAGACTCTGGGAAGAGCAGGGACTGAAGCAAAGTCTCTTCTTTCACGGAGCTTAGCCTCTAGTAGCAGGTGACGGCCACCAAACCACACTTACTAGGTGACGGATGCCGTGGAGAAAAATAAAGCAGAGCAGAAAGACCGTTCAGGAGGAGTGTTTTCATCCGACGCGGGAGTCAGGAGAGAGCCTCACTGAGAAAGTGAGCTTTGAGCTGAGGCCTCACGGAGAGGATAGAGTCGCCCCCTGGCTATCCCGAGAAAGGGCATCTGAAGCTGGGAGATCACCCAGCACAAAGTCCCGGCGGCAAGAATGGGGTTGGCACGCTCAGTGCGTAGCAATGAGGCAAGTGTGGCCCGAGCGGAGTGAGGAAGGAGGAGGCCAGTAGGAGGGGAGGTCAGAGAGGCGCACGGCAGGGAGCGAGGTCACACGGGCTGGAAGGCAACTGGCTTCACTCCTGGCGAACCGGGTGAACCGGGAGCCCTGAAGGGCTTGAGCGAGAAGAGAGCCTGACGTGCATGTTAACTTGGTCTCTGTGGCTTCTTTGTTGGGAAGGAATGTGTGTGGCCAAAGACAGAGAGGCAGGGACAGCCAAGGCGATCATGCCGGCCGGAGAGAATAGGCTGGACCAGGGGTTAGCCACAGAGGCAGTAAGAAGTGGTCAGATTTATACAATATTTTGAAGTCTAGGCAGCAGAATGTGCTGACAGCGTGGATGCGGGATGTGAGAGGGAGAGAGCCCAGGGGTGCGTCCATACTTTTTGGCCTCGGCGATTGGGAGAATGGGATGGCTGTTGATGGAGGTGGTGAAGATTTGCGGGAACGGGGTTGGGGCAGAATTCTGTTTGGACGCATTCGCTCCGACTGTTAGACAGAAAGGGGGCACTTGATGCAGAGTCTGGCATCCCGCGGCAAAGGGCTGGCTAGTGGCGTATGAGAGTAGCTGCTACCCATCCTTGTGACCTGAGGCTCTGCCCACCATTCCTCCAGGGACTTCCGGGAGCCACGCTCCCCCTTGGGAAAGTTAATTCTCGTCTTTACGTCTCGGCTCCTCATCTGGGAAGTAAGACTGACCAAAACGCATTCCTGATTCATGAAGGTCTTAATCAGGTAAGGCGTGTATGCTGTCGGCGTTGTGCTAGGCTCAGTGAGCTTCAGCTGCGGATAGGATTGTGTCTTGCTGGACCCTTTGCCTCTGCTTACGCTTTGAGCCACATCCCCTGGGCCGCAGACATGGGAGTAAGAATGAAACCTTAACCTATGGGCTGCCCATTTTATTTATAACATTTATTTATTTTTGAAGGAGAGAGAGAGAGCATGAGCAGGGGAGGGGCAGAGAGACACACACACAGACAGACACACACAGAATCCGAAGCGGGCTCCAGACTCTGAGCTGTCAGCACAGAGCCTGACACGGGGCTCGAACTCATGAACTGTGAGATCATGACGTGAGCTGAAGTCGAATGCTTAACCGACTGAGCCCCCCAGAAGCTCCAAGGCTCCCCATTTTAAAGGATGACCAGGTCTAATCGGATGCCCCCGTCATGAACTGGAGCTGGGAATGAGGGGACGGGCCCCACCAGTGAGGCCCTGGAGCTGAAAGGCCATTCTGGGCCACTTACCGCACGAGCAAGACACGGACACCCTGCTGGTGGCTGGTTAGCTCGAGCACTCATCCCGGGAAAGCGTCAGCCCTGTCCTGAGGTCCCACAAGTTCCCAGTGGACTTCCAGTCAACAAAGGGACTTTTGTTGAGCCCAGGATGGGAACTTCAGGAGGTGACTAGTTCACAGCTCAGCCTGGTGTGGAGATGTCCCAAGCTGCCTCTTTCTCCAGCGGGTTTTGGAATGTTCCATCCCCAAGAATTATGGACAATGAGGTTGAAGTCCCCTCTGGCACTGTCAGAACAAGTGTTTTTGGAAAGCTTTCTAGAACATCTGGTAAGAAGAAAAGACCCACTGAAACCCAGACATTCCATCTCTCCACACTGGGGCTGTAACCAGTGCTAGCCAGGGATTGGCCCTTGGGGTCTTGGATTCATCACTCGTTTGGCAAAGGAGAAGAAGGAAGGCAGACCCACTGGGCACCGGACAGGCAGAACTGGCCTTGCCAGGGCTTGGCAGATGGGTGGCTGGGTTCCAAGATAGGGCAGCATGAGCCCGGGGAGGGGGGATTGGACAAGGATGGAGGGCAGCACCTGGGCCTTTTCTGAGTGGGGGGTAAGCACAGAGGACGGCCGTGTGGGTCCACGGGCCCCGGGGCCTTGCCCTCTCTCAGCTTCCTCCGGCGCCTTTTCATCATTGTTTCAACACCATGGGGACACATCACAGGTCAAGAAGACGCCTCTTTTGGAAAATGTACTCGAAACGTCCTCTCCCCATGTTTCAGCCGCCATGCTCTGGTCGGTGACCAGGCAAGAAGCATGGGGACCAGTCGTCTCTCTGCAGTGCCGCTCCCAGGTGACTGTCACAGTGGGTTATACTCACAGCCTCCACACCAGCCTCGCCTATGTGCCTGGAAAGGCCAGAGGCACTCGTGGAGACAAGATGGCCCTGCAAAGGGCAGATGTGTGCAAGAGTGCCACCTGCTGGCGGTCATCGGCACTGCAGACAGCCACCAAGTTCATTCCACAGGAATCTGGTTAGCAGGTGTGTTAAGGGCCCCTTCCTTTGCTTGCTTGATGGGGGTGGGGGATAGAGTCTTGTTTCTTTTTTTCTATACATTTCCTCCACTCCAAAAAGCTGTCTCGTGGACTTTTGTGATCATCCCCAGCTCTCTGTCCTTGGCAAACATTGATAGAATAGTTTGGCTGATTCTAGAACTTCACATATGTAGAACTGGATTTGGGTACTCTTGGGTCTGGCACAGTGTTACTGGTTATGGTTTCCAATTTTCTCTCCGCGATTATGTGGTATATATTTTAGGGACAGATTAGTGGTTTGTTCTTTTAATTGGTGAGTGGTACAGGTATAGCATTTGTTTACCAGATCACCTTTTTAAAATTTAAATTTTTTAATGTTTATTTTATTTTTGAGAGAGAGAGAGAGAGAGAGAGAGAGGAAGGGGCAGAGAGAGAGTCACAGAATCCAAATAAGGCTCCAGGCTCTGAGCTGTCAGCACAGAGCCCAACGCAGGGCTCAAACTCACGAACGGTGAGATCACGACCTGAGCTAAAGTCGGACGCTCAACTGACTGAGCCACCCAGGCGCTCTTACCAGATCACCTTTCGATAGGCATACCGGTTAATTCTGCTTTGGGTCTATCATGAATAAAGATGCTATGAACATTTTTGTAAAAGTCTTTTTGTGGGTATATGCTTTCTTTCTCTTGCAATAGCTAGGTCACAGGGTAAATGTGTGGTCAATTCTGTTCAATGTTAAGTGCATGGTTAAACGTGTAGTTAAATGTAGGGTTAACTTTATAAAAACTGCTTGTTTCCCACCAGGGATGGATTACGGTTCCAGTTTCTCTGCGTCTCGGTCACTATTTGGTATGGTCGGTCTTTTAAATATTAGCCATTCTAGCGGCCATGTAGTGTGGTATCTTGTGGGCTTCTGAACGTTTGAGATATAATTCACGTACCATAATATTCACTCTTCAAAGTATATAGTGGCTTTTTATTATATTTATGCAGTTGTGTAACCATCACTACTCTACAATTTCAGAAAATTGTCATCACTCCAGAGAGAAATCCTGAACCTTTTAGTCCCTGGGGAAAAAAACCAAATCTGCTTTCTTTTTCTGTGGGTTGGCCTATTTTAGACATTCCATAGAGAGGGAATCATAGCATGTGGCCTTTTGTATCTGGCTTCTTTCACTTAGCATAATTTTTTCAAGGCTCCTCCATGATAAGGCACGTAGCAGTACTTCATTCCTTTCTATGGACAAATAACGTCCATCACCTGTTGATGGACATTTGTGTTGTTTCCAGATCTTGGCCACCTTGAACATCCAGGCACAAATTTTGGGGTGGACACATGTTTTTAGTTCTCTTGGGCATATAACGAGGAGCGAAATTGCTGGGTCGCATGGCAACTCTGCTCCACAAATTCCCGCTGCCTCAGCGTCTCGGACTCTGGGCTCTTCCGCAGCTCAGTGAGATTAGTGCCCTCTGCGTGGGGTCCCCCTGCTTGCCAAGTGCAGTGATGCCTTCAGGAAGAAGTGCTGGGTGACTGTCCAGCTCACCTTGTCCCCTTTCTCTCAGAGACCACAGTCCTGCGCTCAGTCATCCAGTGTCTGGAAATAGTTGTTCCATTTTGTCCAGTTTTCTGTTGTGTAGAGCAGGAGAGATAGTCCAGTACCTGTTACTTCATCAAAGCTGGAGGCAAAAGACCAATAACACTTTTAAAAATACCTATATTTGAGGGCGCCTGGGTGGCTGAGTCGGTTAAGTGTCTGACTTCCGCTTCCGGTCATGATCTCGCGGTTCATGGGTTTGAGCCCCAAGTAGGGCTCTGTGCTGACAGCTCAGAGCCCGGAGTCTGTCTTTGGAGTTTGGGTTTCTGTCTCTCTCTGTTCCTCACCCCCAAATCGCACTCTGTCTCTCTCTCTTTCAAAATGAACAAATGTTAAAAAAAAAACTTTTTTAATAAATAAAAGTACCTATATTCGATAATTTCGTGGTCTAAAGTCCTAGGAAGATCCAAAATGAATGGTGGTTTCCATGGATAATTACTCATAGTCACGTGTTTGCCTGTTTTGTATGTTTGTGAGAGCTTGTCTTTGGTTGAATTTAATCTGGAAGAATCTTGAGGGTCTAAATTGGGACTGCTTTTGTCCTGAGGTTACTTATGTTAGCCTCTACTAGGTTCTATGGAAGCAAAATTAATCCGAGAACACTTACATTTTTCTGCTGGGGATTTCTCTCACCTTTTTGAAAAACAGGGAAAGTCTGGAGCTATAAAAGGGTGGGCATATGGGTGTGAATTCTCGAGAACTGCAAACATCATCGTCACCACCACCAGCACCACTGCCCCATAACCACGGTGAAGACTCATTGCTTCCCACACTCTTTCTTTCCCTCCCTTTCACCAAGGTGGTAACCACCTTTCAAGTCCCCAGATTTGTGCAGAGATCTCAGATTTTTATTCTCTCCCTTTATGAGTTGCCTCTTATTTGTAGGCCTCCTAATTATTAATCCCCCAAACTCTGGGTTCCTGTTATAAACATTTGCCACCAGGGCAGCCCCAGTTTCTATTTCTTATTAGTGTTCACTGTTCTGGTCTCAATTCACCGTTCATTCTTATGTGTATGAATAACGTTCATGGTTTCGTTTACTCCCTCGTGAGGTCAGCAATGCATATAAAACCCTTGTAATTGATCCAAGGTCTAGTTGAGTTGCGGTGGATAATTTTTTTAGGACGTTCGATCTGCCTCATGGATCGTTCTGTTGGAGGTGGAAATTCTCGACCTCAGTGACTTCATCTGTGGAAAATGGGAACAATAATCCTGACTCATGAGAAGTCATGAATTGCAAAGAACCGATGCACGTGGAAGGAACACACTTAGCGGAGCGCTTGGCAGCAGGTGGAACGGGCATGCGGCGTCCCTAACGATACAGCAGGTGAGGGGGAAGCGCTGACTGTAGCCAACGCACTGTTCACTCCTTCTACAAACACGTATTGCTCATTAGGCCATAGCTGTGCGTGATACGGGTTTGGACAAACGTGGGGACCTGTATCCAGCACTACAGCACGATAGAGTAGTTGCACTGCCCTCAAAATCCTCTGTGCTCCCCCCGTTCACCCCTCCCTCCCTGAAACTCCTTGGCAACCACTGATCATTTCACTGGTTTTGTCTTTTCCAGAATGTCATATAGTTAGAATCACCCACTATGTCACCTTTTCACATTAGCTTCTTTCACCTCGTAATATGCGTCAAAGTTGCCTTCGTGACTTTTGGTAGCTTGATGGCTCATTTCTTTTTATCACTGATAATATTCTATTGTCTGGATGTCCCAGACATCTTGGCCATATCCAAGGTTTTGCAAGTATGAGTTAACATTGGTGGGCCGCTTTTCGTGTGGACACCAGTTTGCACTTATTTGGGTAGGTTCAAATAACCTCGGAATCCTATTATTTTTAACTTTTCTATGCTGCTTTAAAGCGTCTTTTGTAAGCAGCATATAACTGGATTTTTAACAAAATATATTTATTTTTTAGAGAGAGAGGGAGAGAGAGAGAGACTGAGAACAAGCAAGGGAGAAGCAGAGAGAAGAAGACACAGAATCTGAAGCAGCTCCAGGCTCCAAGCTGTCAGCACAGAGCCCGACGCGGGGCTCGAACTCGCTAACCGTGAGATCACGACCTGAGCCGAAGTCAGACACTTAACTGACTGAGCCACCCAGGCGCCTCTAACTGGAATTTTTAAGCAGTCTGTGAAGAGATAGGAAAGGAAGCAAATAGAGCAAAATCTTAACTGTAGGATCCAGGTGGTGGTGTAAGGGTGTATACTGCACTATTGTTTTTCTTCTGTAGGTTTGAAAAATTTTGTAATAAGATGTTGAAAAAAAGTGAGACAAAGCCAAGCCAAACCCTCTGGAGGGTGTGTGTCTGTGTGCGTAAAACTGTAAGGGGCCGTTCAGAGCAGAGTAATGGAGACGCCCAGCGCCGGGACCCTGGCTCTGCCTTCCAGCCAGAGCGAAGTCCTAAGCCCTCTTCTCCTGTTTTCTCCTGGCGGGAGGGCGATCGCCACACCCAGCGGTGCCAGGCTGTGGCAGGAGCCTGTCCAGCGCCCGCCCGGCTGGTCCTTCTATGACTGGGGTCGTGTGTCCAGCTGAGAACCACGGGGAATGTGTCATACTTCTGGTCACCAGCAGGGGGTGCACATAAAGCAAACAAGTGCCCGAAGCTTCCAAACCTGGTCTTCCTCCTGGTATAGTTTTCATAAAATGATGCAAAATTCGGCCTTCAAGCAAGCTTCTCCACGTTCGGCCCATGATCCCGGTCATCTCAGTGTGTGATTGATGCCTGCAGTGGGCTCCTAGAGCTCTCTCTCTCTCCCCCTTCCCGCCTGTGCCCGCTGCCCCTGTGTGACTCGACCCTGCGCCCCTTTGCAAGGATCTCCTTCACCACCACCCCTGCCCGGTGGGAGATCCTGGCACAGGGCCTCAGAGAGCACTCCGTGTGCGGCGGATGGACAGACATCACCTCCCGTCTCTCACTATCTCCCTGCCCAGACGCAGCAGGACGGACCTTCTGGAGGGGTGTGTCTCCTTCACCACCAGGGCCCTCTCTCAGTGTGGCTCGTTCAGCCTGGCGGGCAGTGTTCCTAATGAGATCGTCCCGGGAGGCAATGGGACCAGGTGCCCCCTGCGTTCCCGTTATGGGCTGGGTTGTGTCCCCCCCCGCCCCCCCCCCGCCATCCCCAGAAAGGTATGTTAGAGTCCTAACCTCCAGTCTGCAGACGTGGCCTTATTTGGAAATATGGTTATTGTAGATGTAATTAGTGAAGATAAGGTCGTTGGGGGTGGGCCCTAATCCAATATGACCGGTATCCTCATGAAAAGGGGAAACTTGGGGCGCCCGGGGGGCTCAGGTGGTTAAGAGTCGGACTCTTGATTTCGGCTCGGGTCATGACCTCACGGTTGGCGAGCCAGTCTGTGGCCGATAGGATGTGAACGGAGGTGAAGTGTACACTTTCTGTGGCTCGTCCTCAAGGGCTCGAGCGTGCCTCTGCCCACTTTGCTCCTCTGTCTCCTCCCTCGAGGCCTAATGACAAGGAGCAGCATCCCTGGACCACAGGATGGGGGATGGCAGAGAAGTGACGGAGCTCCGAGAGCAAGATGTAAACTGCTTTGCCGAAGCCACTCTTGTTTTGGGGTCTCTGTAACCCCAGGCCCATCACTGCCTGTCAACGTGACCCCGAGCAAGTCACTTCGCGTGTCTGTATCTCGGGCTCCTCTCCCGGAGCACGCGAGTGATAAAGATCCCCACCCGCCACGAGCTGCCGTGGGTGCCACATTGTTCTCAATGCCTCGCGCGTAGCGAGTGCTCCCTTTAGCTTTTACGGCAGCTGGAGCGGGGGTCTCAGTGGGACGCGGGCCCCCTCCGATGCCACTCTCCCTGGGATGGTCCTTCGCGGGGCCCCATCTACGCCGTCCCTGTACAGCACCCACGGCTGCCCCGGGCACACAGGCTCCGGGCAGAGCTGAATAGAAGCCTCGTTACACACACACACACACACACACACACACACACACACACACACACACGGGAGAGGATGAATATCTGTTTTGTCCACCGTCAAAAAGCGGAGTTGAAAGGCACTTCGGAAACACGGAGTGTACTTCTTTTTAATAAATGCGACTCTTCAAAAGGCTACTGCGTTTTATGCATAAACAGTTCAGAGGACAAGCACCGTGTCTTTTTCACTATCGACTTCTTGTATTAAATTGTGCGAAATAGCCTTCAGTGGGCTGATTTGTACAGACTTCCTCCATATGTTTCTTCCTGACAATAAAACAAACAGGAAAAAAATCAGCAAGTGCCTGGTTTCCTAAATATTCAAAAAAGTTTTTTATATGTAGGAAGAAGGCCACAGACCTTCTATCAGCGTGTTAGCCCCAGGATACGGGATGCATCCCAGCCCCGGCGGGGTTAAGGGTGCGGGTGTTTATCCTTGCTCTGTGGTTACACCAGGCACCGGCACCCAGAGACTCTGGGGGGCTCTCGGAATTAACTCTCTGCAGGTGTGGCTGTGAAGACATCTGTTCACCCCACTTGACCTCTGTTGGATCATCTCTGCTGCTCCTCTGGGGGCCCCAACAGAAGTAACCGGCCAGCAGGGGACCCACCGGGGGAGTGACAGCTGATTGGAGAACATACTGGTGGGTCTCTTCTGAGTTCAAGCCAAGAGCTTGATGGATAGATGATAAGTCAGTACGTATCGTAGGGGTTTTGGGGTTTTTTTGTTTTGTTTGTTTTGCTTTTGAGAGAGGGAAGGGAAGGGCAGAGGGACAGGAAGAGAGAAAGTCTCAAGCAGGCTTCATGCCCAGCACAGAGCCCAACCCAGGGCTCGATCTCATGACTATGAGATCATGACCTGAGCCAAAGTCAAGAGTCGAACACTTAAACGACTGAGCCACCCAGGTGCCCCAGTAGTGTGTGTGTGTGTGTGTTTACCAAGTTCACCTACTGATCTGCATGAGACATTTTCTGCAGCCGGCCCTCTGAACTCTGCTTGGGGTCTGTCGGTGTGAAGAGGAGACGCCAGCACGGTCCCCCCTCCCCATGTCCAAGGGGGCCAAGCAGCCTCCTCAGAAAAGCCCTCCGACGCCCCCAGGCCAACTCAGTGCCTCCCCTGGGGCTCCCAGTGCCCTCCGTGTACCCCAGCACCAGCACTCATGTCTGAGCCGCTGGGCGTAGCTGGCGCCCACATGGGCGCCTCCCACGGGGGGTCCCCTGGTGTGTGCCAGGACCAGTGGTTTCCAAACACTTAGTTTCCGGCTTGTAGCTCTCAGCCCCTCTCTCCCTTCTGTTTGAATTCTTTACCAGGAGGCTGGGCTGTGGCCTGAGTCACCGCTGCTAAGGGGGCTTCTGTGAGATACACAGCCGGGTCCAGGGCCCCTGGGTGGGAAAGACCCCGGGGAGGCGGGCCCGTACGGCCTGCCCGAAGGTCCCCACGACTCAGCGGGATCTGGCCGGTGCCCCCCCACCGCGCCCTCTGACCTCCACCCCCCGCCCCAGCCCTCACTGCAAGCGCTGCTCCCGGGCCAGGCTGAGGTTGGCGCAGTCCAGAGCCCGGCGGAGGTCCCGCTGCCCGCGCTGGCGCTGGCGCTCCGTGAGCAGCGTGGAGCGAGCCGTCTGCACCCTTTGCCGGTCCCACTCCATGTCTCGCTGCCGCTCTTCTTCCTGAAGCCGCTGGAAGGAGGACAGGCAACTCAGCACCACCGCCCCCGGATCCAGGGCACCGTCCAGGGGGATCGGCCTCTTGGCTTACAGGTGGGGAAACTGAGGCTCAGAGAGGGGGCAGGCAGGTGAGCGACAGCATGCTGGACATCAGAGGAGACCAGCGCCACCTGCCGCGGGCCGGGCCCTCCCACCCCGGACACCACCAGCAGGGCTCGCTGCGGAGCGCCTGGACCACCTGGGCGCTTCTAGAACACCCTGAAGTGGCAGCCCCCCTCCAAGGCCAGTGGGTTCAGGATCCTGGGGGGAATTTCTGCATCTCAGCTCATTCCTCATCGGCTTCCGGCCCCCTCTGTAAAACCCACTGGGCCCTAGAAGATGAAACCGGGTCAGTGCAGGGGGAGGGGTCACTCCCAGAAACATGGGCAGTCCTGCCATCTGAGTCTGAATTACTTTCTCAGCTCAGCCTTCTCCTACCCGCAAAAGGAGGCTAAAGCAGTGGGGCCGGGTCTGAACACGCCTCCTTCCCTTCCGTGGGACTTAGGGCGGGGCTTCCGTTCACCCCATGAGCAGGGGTAGAGTGCCCAGCGGTCCCCCGGCCCCGAGACCTGGGTCTGCCAGCCACTGGGTGCAGACAGCTGGCAGAGAGCCCGCCCCAGGACTGCGAGGAAGCTGGTGCCCGTTTCTGCCGCCTACGGGGCAAGTCGTTTTGCCTGTCTGAGCCTCAGTTTCCTCGCCTGTAAAATGAGGCTACTCACAGCTGCCCTGAGTCATGACACAAGGTGCTTTGTTCAAGAAATGCAGGAGCCTGGGGGGCTCAGCTGGTCAAGCGTCGGACTCTTGATTTCAGCTCTAGTCGTGATCTCAGGGTTTGTGGGTTTGAGCCCAGAGTCGGGCTCGGAGCTGACAGTACGGGGCCTGCTTGGGATTCTCTCTCTCTCCCTCTCTCAAAATCAGTAAGTTTGAAAAAAAAAAAAATAGAGAGTAACATGGGGACCTGCTTGCCCGGGACTAAGAGACACACAGCCTACCTACTTTTGGCCTGACCTCAATTTTCGAAACCGTCTCCATGCAGAGGAGGGAAGCCCACCCCAGGGCATACAGGGGTGCGGGAGGGGGCGGGGCGGATTTGTGAGCAGTGAGGCCTGGTCTACGCTTTTTTCCCCTTTGCACTTTTTCGGTCTTCATATTCTACAGAGATTGAAAATCAGATAAAAATCTGCTTTCAGGACAGATGGCCGGCCTTCCGTGCCAGACAGTTGGGCTGAATTGCAGGAGTGAAGGACAGGGCCGTGCCTTGCAAGGTCGACCACATCCCCTGCCAACCTTGGTCCCCTCCCCCGCCTTGACCCTGGCTGTCCCCTCTCCCGCAGGGCTGTCCTCCCTCCCACACTGTTGACCCAGGGCCCCCTTTCCTGAGCCAGGCGGCTGCCCCTCCCCCGTGCCTACCTGCTTGGACGCTCCCGCTGACCCTGACCATGGCCCCGGCCAGCACCGCCCCCCAACCCCAGGGTGGTCATCTGCAGGCCCTGGGGCGGCCCCGCCCACCCTCACAGGCTTCAGAACTTCCTTCTTCCTGGCTTCTCAGCGATTCCCCCTCCTCTCCAAAGACCTAGTGCCAATTGTCACCTGCTGGTCACAGCCTACCTGTGACCCTCGAACTCCAACGGGCATCAGGACCCCTGGGGGGCTTTCCCGGCCCCAGACTGTGGGCCTGCCCTGGGGTTTCTGGTTCAGTAGGTCTGGGGTGGGGCCTGAGAATCTGCATTCCTGCCAAGGTCCTAGGCAGTGCCGACGCTGCGGGTCCAGAGGCCCCCACGTTGGGAAGCTCGGCCCCCACCTTGTCATTCCCAAGAACGCCAGCCTCCCTGGTGTCATCTTCAGGTGTCCGTTCGGACCCGCCTCTTCCACCCTCTCTCCAGCTCCCCGATTCCAGGGGTTTCTCCGGCTGCGCCCCGCCCCGGGCCTCCCATCCACTGACCGCACACTTTCTACTGGCCTGGCGCTCCTGTGACTTCGTTCCCTCCCCGTTCAGCCCGGCGTCCATGGCTGACAGCCCCTGGCGCCGATGCCCTCGGTGCCCTTGAGACTCTCACCTGGGTCAGACACGCCGGGCAGGCTCGTACAGCTGAGCGCGGCCAGGGAACGTCACCCGGTCGCACTCACTGAGGACACTTCGAGCCTCCCGGGGGCCCTGGCTCTGCCTGGCCATCCTGCCCCTTTCCCCCAGGCCATTCCTTTCCCGCTCTCCTAATGACCGTTAGCACCTGGCCCTCAGTCCTCAAACCCCCAACGTGAGCCCCTCACCCTCAGCTGGTGACCTCCCTTCCTGTTTCCCCAGAAAACAGGGGCTCCAGGAGAGAAGCCCACCCCCACTGCCAAGGATGACCAGCCTGAGCTCCTACCCACCCCAAACTTTAGCTAGTGCTCCCAGGGCCCTGTTCCCTGCTGCGGACACGGGCCCCAGCGAGCCCCCTCCGGCATCAGGTCCCCCCTCTCTCCTGCGTCGCCCTCACGGCATAACAAGTATGCTGTTATTTCTATGATCAGAAACAGCAAACGACTTTCTCTTGACCCCATGTCCCCACCAGCTACCACCCCGTCTCTGCACCCTTTACAGCAAAACACTTTGAAAGCTGTGTCTGCGTTTGTGGGTCTCCACTTCCTTCCTGCTCGTTCCCTTTCTGTCCCCCTGACCCTTCCTCCAAAGATGCTCCTGGTAGAGTCCCCAGGGACTGCCCCCTGGATCCCGGGTTCAGCCAGCAGCCCAGCTGCAGGGTTCGACCCGGGGGCTCCCTTGCTGGGTCCCTCCTCCCTCTCTGGCTGCACCTTCTCAGGCTCCCTTGCTCTTTATAAATGAAGGTGGGGGTGGGGCGTGCCCCATGACTCAGTTCTTAGTCCCCTTCTTCTCCCTGTCTTCACTCACTCCCTGCGTGACCTTAGCCAGGTCAGCTGCTTTAAATACTCTCTGTGTGGCCATGTGTCTAAGCTTATGTCTCCAGAACTTTGTTCTGAACTCCCCACTATGTATCCTACTGCCTACTGGCTTTGAGTTGTGGCAGAAAATATCACTTGCCTCCCAGTAACCATGTTTCTTTCTTCCTTAATGAAACCATTGCTGGCCACCTTGCCGCTTGAAATAAACACTACATTTCCCAGTTAGGGGCAACCTTGTGACTAAGTGTTGTGCAGTGGAATTTAAGTGGAAGTGTCCTGTGACACTTCTGAGAAATGTCCCTAGAGTGTTCTTCCTCATTCCTTTTCCTGCCAGATGGAATATGCATGTGAGGGCTGGAGCTCAAGCAGCCACATTGTACTAGGAAGTGGCAGCCATTTGCCAAGGATAATAGAATGTTAGTCAATGACCCTGGAGCTGCCAGACTGTGTCTACATGCCAGAGATAAAGTTCTATTTTATTTAAGATGCTGTTAGCCAGGGTTTCCTGCCATGTTCAGGCACAGAATCCCAACAGATATAGAGGTCTAACGCACACTGCACACACACTATATCCAAAACTGCACCTGTGACTTCCGTCCCCCTATCAACCTGCTCCTCTCACCCTCTTCGTACCTCTGTAAATACCAACTGCGTCCTTCTCACTGCCCGGGCCGGAAGGCCTGCAGTAATCCTTAACTCCTCTGGGTCTCATATGCCCCCCCAACCCTTCAACCAATCCTGCTCACTCTGGTTTCAAAATAGATCCAGAATCTGACCATTTCTCGGCGCCCTGGACCCAGCCAGCATCACCTCTCACCTTGACCGCTGCAACTGCCTCCCTAACGGTCCCTCTACCCCCCTTCGCCCCGCACCCCAGTAGAGCCCTTCCTCAAAATGGCAGCAAGAAGGATCCTTCTAAACGTGTCAGAGCGCCTCACTCCTCCGCTCAAACCCTCCAGAGCGGCCCGTCTCCATCACAGAGAAGGCCAGCTCTTCCCCACGACTGCCAGGACCTTGACCTTACACCTCCCAGGCCCCTTCCTGCCCCTCCCCTCATCCCTCAGCAGCCACTGGGCCCCCCCTCTTCTCTGAGCCTCCCCCAGGCCTCTGTCCTTGCAGTTCACCAGGGGGTGGTCCCTTCTAATCGTGGGGCGCCCCCTCCCCTCCTGCAGGTCTTTGTTCCAGCGTCACTTCCCAGTCTCCTGGGGACCCTTCTCAAACTCAGCACCCTCCAGCCCCTTGGCCCAGCCTCTCTCCCCGAGCACGCCTCAACAGCTGCTTCTAGGGACAAGCATAGCAGCGGTTAGAACGAGCCTAGAACCAGCCGGCTGCAGGAAGGCGGGGGTGGGGGGTGGGTACAGGGCTGCGGCTGGGGGCTGGGGTGAGGGGCAGGGGCGGGGGCAGGTACCAGCTTCTCCTGGATTTGCTGCTTCTGAACCAGACGGATGTGCTCCAGCTGCTCCCGGGTCATGCCCTTCCAGCGGTCGGGGACCACGCGGTGGGGCCCCAGGGAGCTGGCTGCCGGCTGCGGGTTCTCGGAGAGCAGGTCCCCGCGCAGCAGGTTGGAGATCTCGGCCAAGTTGTCTTCTTCTTCTTGTTTTTTCTCTCGAGTTTTCCTTTCCACTGACTCGGTGGCCTGCACAGGGGAGGACGGACGGTGAGGAAGACGCCCTGGGGGACCCCATGGGGGCTGAAGCAAGACCGGCAAATCTCACTGAAGGAAGAGTGTGGTCAAGTGCACCTGGGGCAGGTGGGGTGGGGGCGGAGACTCGCCAGGCTCGGATGTGGGGCGGCCCCTGGACCCTGGCTGCCTGGATGACGACGGTGTGACGGCTGGGCCGAGGGAGCCCCCACCTGTTGGATGCGTGTAGGACAGTTGCAGCTGCTTATTTGCACTGATTGGCCAAAGCAGGGAGCCGTCTCCCCGTGTTAGGCCGCCATCTCCTATGGGCGGGGCCTCACTCACCCCAGGGCAGGGCTCCGTGCCGCCCCAGTGGCCCTGGGCACCTTGGGCGCCCACAGGCCGCAAAGAACACCCACCAGAGTGATGCACAACAGTGGCGACTTCTCAAAGGTGAAATGCACATCAGCCACGGCCCTGGCGACCAACAGATTCCGGGTCAGACCCCCCTGCTCCAGGGAGGGTGAGGAGTGGAGCGAGAGGGCCCTGGCCGTGTGGCCCGGAACAAGTCGCGTCCCCTCTGGGCTGCAGCCAGCCGTCTCTCGGTCAAGTCAAGCTCAGTGCTCCCCATGCTGTCTAGCAGTGAACAGACGGGGCACTCGGCAAGGCGCCCAGCACGCTGCCCCTGCTCACCGCAAGGTCCGCTCGACGGCGTCACCGAAGCGCCAGCTTGGCGGTGCCACCAGCCTGGGTTCACGCGCTGGACTGCCCCACCCCCACCCCAGCCTGTCTCTTTATTAGTTGTTTGTTTATCAGTTAACCATGGCCCTCTGGCTGGAGAGGGTAGCCGGACGACAACGCGGCGACCGTCCCAGCCCGCTGCGTGTGTGAACTCTTGATCCCACAACCACCCCCAGGGCACGCGCGACACCTGTCGCTGCTGGTCACCACACTGCCGGTGCAGTCGCACTTCCCCACCTCGCTCGTGGCCACGTGTCTCCCTTGGGCCGGTGACACGTGAGCAGGGGTGACTGGAACAGGCGTGGCTGGCACGGGCGGGTGGGGGAGGGGGACGGCACCCGTGGCTTCTACTCTTGTGCTCCCGGGGCCGCCAGCTGGTGGCTGCTCTGTCCCAGGGCCTGGGCTGGGGCGGGGGGGGGCCGGTGAGGGTGACGAGGAGCAGAGCCCCTCAGCCAACCTGCAGGCTTAGCTCACTCTGACTAGTCCTGCTGGGCGTTACCATCATGCCCACTCTACGGATGATAAAATGGAGGCCCTGAGCCGGGACCTCCCACAGCGGCAGACAGGAGCCAGCAACACCGGCCTCCGGCATCTGCCACCAGCCCTGAGCCACAACCCGTGCCTGAGGAAAGGAGCAGCCCTCTCCTCTCAGAGGGACGCTCTCCACTGCATCCCTCCTCGGCGGAGCCGGACTGACCCGCCTGCAATTTGCCCTGGAGGCAGCGACCTGGACCTCTGGATTAATGCCCCAGGCTGATGCATCCAGCCTACCTCTAGCCAGGAACAGCGCCGCAAAAGCCAAGGTGGCCGCCCCCGGCGCAGGGGGCACTTCTGGCCGCGTTGCCCTGCAGCGAGCACGTGCGGGGCCGGGGGACCGAAAGTGCCAGCACGTTGCAGGTGCTCACTGAAGAGGTCGCCGCATGAGCCCGTCGATGGAGCGGCAACACCGTTTCCGAGGAAGCACAGAGCAGTCCCGCGGCCGCAGGGCTCAGTAAATGATCTGCCGAGCTAGACGCACGACGGGAAGAGCGGCCACAGGACACATGATGCAGCACAGGAGGGCCCCTTCCGCCATGAATTCTCTGCGGGGCCTGGAGCAAGTACCTGTCCTCGGACACCGTCTGCACCACGGAAGCTGGCAGTGTGCCCTCCTCGGTCTTCAGCTCCCCCCACCTCCCCCCCCCAGATCTCTGCCTCATTGAAAGCCAACCTTCTCTCTGGTCTCTGGCCCGGCCTCTCCTGGAGGTTTTGGTTACCTAAGTGTGTCCCACCAGTAGGGCATTTTTGAGCATTTTAGCTCAGAACTTGGTACCACTAGACCATACAGGCAGCACGCACTTCATGATGCACACCCGCACACACACACGCGCACGCACACTTGGGGATTAAACATGGTGAGGCGAGAAACAAATACTGGAGCCGAGGTCTCTACCCCCTTCCTGCTCTCTAGCGGACGGTCTGCACACCCTGCTCCGCACACCACAGTTCTGGGCAGCTCCAGGGCGGCGTCCATCCCACCCAGGATGTAGGCCTGCATGTGAAAAGAAGGCCTGGAGCAGGATAGAGAGCTTGAAGCAAGGCCAGTGAGGGGGTGGCCGAAGTGGAGAGTTTGGGAGGACGCCCTGCAGGCATTAGGGAGGAGGGAGGTGTCAGGAGCGCTGTCAGCATGATAATCGCTCCCGTAGGGAGTGCCCGCGGCCTGTCCTGGCTGAGGATGAGCTCCCGGAGGTGCTAAAGAAGTGAGGCAAGGCGTCAGAGCAGTGCTAGATGGCCCTTTGGGTAGATGTCACGGTCCTTGGTGTTAGAGAAGAATCTGAGGTTTACAGAATTGAGAGACATGCCCCACCCCCATCGCCAGGCTCACAGGGTTAGTTTGGTCGAATTTCACCCCTGCCCCCGCCCCCGACTCAGAGCTCAGGAGCGGGGGCTGGGTCTCACTCATCCCTGTAGCGGGGCAGCCCCGGCAGGGTGATGCGGATTGTGTGGTGCGAGCCGGTGAAGGGCTGGTCTTGGGACGGGGACACGGGGACACGGAGGTGCCCGGGGAAGCCGCTGTGTGCTCATCCTTCCCTCCAGACAGAGCCTGGGATATACCTGGTTCTTGTTGAATTCTTTCACAGCTGCACAAACCGCCTTTCTGGTGGCGCTCTCCAGATTCTGTAAATGCTTGGCCGTTTCATCAAACTGCAGCCTTGTCTTGAAGTAGAGGTCCTCTGGAAGGAAGTGAAAGGCAGTCACACCTCGTGTGCCCACCCAGAGCCCCTCGCCGGGCGTGCGGAGCACCCTGCAGAGTGCTCCATCCACACAGGTCTTCTTCTCCTGCCCTTGTCCAAGAGCGAGGCTGCCGGGGCTGCTGGGACACTTAGATGAGGGGATTCAGGTAAAGCTCTTGGGTGCAGGCTCCGAGTGTCAGCATCACTACCGGGGATTGGCAACGTCTGCTAGCGACCGGGTAATGCCTGCTGGGGACTGGTAATGTCTGCTGTGGTCCTGGGCTGGGGCCCCGATCCATCATCCTTACAATGGGCAAGGGAGCTCTGCTGTGGGGACCATAGGGGCCCCCCAGAGAAGGGGTGTCAGAGCAGGGAGCTATTCATGCAGCTACAGCAGGACTTTGCCAGGCCAACGTGGAGCGCAAGCAGCAGCAGAAGGGGTTCATGTGGAGCATCAAACAGCAAAACGTACAGGTCTGAGGTCAGACAAGAGCAGGCTCCTATCGCGGCCCAGACACTTCCTAGCTCTGCGAACCTGAACTATTTCCCCAACCTTTCCGAGCCTCTAGCCCTCATCCGGGAGGCAGGACAACCCCTATACTGCAGGGCTGTTCCTTTAAAAAAAGTCACTGATCCAAAGGCCTTCATGTGATGTCAGTGCCCCGTGGTGTCCTCCCGATCTCCAAAAACAAAGACCAAACCTTCGCGGTGAATTAGTGGCCTCTGCTCCCCTTGAGCTTCATCTGCCTCCCCCTCTCCCTTTACCCTCTCCGTGGACACAGCACCACGAGGAGGGACACAGGACTGTGCACCTGCCGGACACACAGTGTGCGGTGGCGGCTAAGACGGCTCTTCCTGCCTCTGTCAAGCTTACTGTCTGGGCGATGAGCTAGGTCATAAACAGATGAACCCCATCTGAACCCCCATGAGCAGTGGTCCGAGAAATGAATCTGGTTTTTATTCCGAGTGAAATGAGAAGCTATTGGAAGGGTGCGAGCTCCAGATCTAGCTGAATTGTTGGCAGGATCATTCTGGTCACGGGGTTGAGAAGCAACGGTAGAGGAGACAAGAGCGGAGGCAGGGAGACCACTTAGGGGCAAGAGCAATGGTCCCCTGAGAGGCGCTGATAGCTGCGTCCAGAGGGGTGATGGGGGAGCTGCAGAGACATAGCTGGGATTTGAGACGATTTGCTGCTGGGCTGGATACTGCATTTGAGAGAAAGGAAGGAGTCAAGATGCCCTGGGGTTGGGGCTTGAGCGACCCGACAACGCAGCTCCCACCGATGGGGTGGAAGTTCGTGGGCGGCAGGCCAGTGTGCCTTGTATTGACTTCGATAAGTTTACGAGACATCGAAGAGCAGATCGACGTTCAGAGGTGACTGGATGTATGAGCCTAGATTCAGGGGAAAATCCGGGCTGGAAGGGTAAATTTGGGGAAAGATGACCTATCGGTGGTGTTTAAACCCACAAGACTAGCTGAGCTCACCAACAGACGGTGTGTGGTTGAGGGAGGAGAGGTGCAGAGGGCGCTGGTGAGACACACACACACACACACACACACACACACACACACACACACCCCAAAAAAGGGGAAAAGGGGAGGGGCGCCGGGGGGGATGAGGGTGTTTCCCGGAAGCTGGTGGCGGGGAGTATTTCCAGGAGGAAGAGACCATCAGCTACCGCACAGGCTGCGGATGAAGGAGCCGCCTGAAAACGGAGCTTGGATGTGGCGGGACAGAGGCCCTGGTGACGGCGGCCAGGCAGGTTCAGGGCAGGGCGGAGGCAGAAGTCCGGACGGGGTGCCCGCAGAGGGGACAGGACATAGCCGTCCAGGGAGACACACCCCAGAGAACACAAAGAGAGGAGGGGAGCCTGGGGGGAGGGTGAGCTGCCCGGGGAGGCTGCAGGGAAGGAACGAGAGGGACAGGGCTGTGGGGCTTGTCCAGTATCACGGATCCCGCCTGCGTCTTCACTGTAGCTCTTCTGTGTCCTGTAACCCGGCTGGCACGTGGCACGAGAGCGGCGACGCCATCCTCTCCGTTACCCAGCCTTCCTGGGAGTAGAGGTCGCCGGAGACCAGGGGCCGCTGGGGGTCCACACAAACACGGGCCACCCGAGTGCGGCCAGGGGCTACGCAGCCACTCAGGGATGGAGGCTGCTTCACGCCTTGGAGGCTTTGCCAGAGCCGTTCCCGGGGCCTGGAGGGGCCTGCTGAGGCCACGGGACCCCTGAGCCCTAGGCTGCACCCCCCATACCCTGCGGGAGCTTCTAGCACAGCCCCCAGAAGCCCCCACTGGGCCTGTGGATTTCCCACTGTCTTCGCAGCAGACTGGGCGCCTACTGAGGGCCGGGCGGATTCTGAGCCACTCGGTACCTTCTGGAACCCCGGGCGGGGGGCACAGGGTTGCAAGCTCAGAAACGAAGACGTTTACATCCCGGAAGGCAGGCTCTTTCCCCTCGCAGCCAACGCAGCACAGTGATAGGACTTGAAAGGCAAAACGGAGCAGGGGGAAAGCCCAGGGGAATCCGATTTGTCGGAGAAAGTACAGAGGCCCGTTTGTGCTTTTTGGCTCCGTTACCTGCACGCCTTTGGGCTGCCCGGGCCCTCTCCTGTTCGCGCTGCTGCTGTGAGGCCCATTCTCGGTTCTGTTCCTCCTGGAATCTCTTCCTCTCGTGGAAGTTTAAATCCTCTCCCATGAACCTCTGCATTCCGGACACCGTGTTCCGAATATCGTTATCTGACTGCCTCGCGGGCAGATCTTTCCTAAGGGCCAGGGGGTCAGACAGGTCAAACTCGCGGCGAGTTTCTGGCTTCTGGAAGGTCTGCTGGAAATCACTGATGGCTTTACAGAGGCTTTTCTTATCTCTCCTTTCTCGGCCTTCTAACATGCACATGATTTTGTCATTTTGCCTCATTTCAGCAGCTAGAGGAGACACAGCATATCCGTAAGGTTAAGGTTCAGAGGAAAAATACATTTGATCCACTTTAAAAAATTGTAAATTTCCAGTGGTTCTAAAAGTAATATAAAGCCTCCAAAAGGGTAACACAATCATTAAAGAATTAGTATTTTTTAAAAAAAATGTTAATGTTTATTTATTTTTGAGGGAGACAGAGTGCAAGTGGGGGAGGGGCAGAGAGAGAGGGAGACATAGAATCGGAAGCAGGCTCCAGGCTCCGAGCTGTCAGCACAGAGCACGATGCAGGGCTCTAACCCACAAACCGCAAGATCTTGACTTGAGCTGAAGTTGGACGCTCAACTGACTGAGCCACCCAGGCGCCCCAAGAATTAGTATTCTGAATATGCAAAGGGTACCTACAAATCAGTTTTAAAAACCAAACAACCAAAGCAAACAGTGTGCCAAGAACAGGAACCGGAAAATCACTATAAAGAAACCTGAATTATCAATAAGCTTGTGAAAAGATGATTGACCTTACAAGGTGGGAAATATCTAATAAATTGGCAAAATATTTAAAATGCTAATAATAGAGGATGTTAGTAAGGACATTAGTAAGGGTGGTAAGGAAACAAGATTTCTCATTCACTGCTTGTGGGAGTGTGACTTAGTGCACTTATAACTTTGGAAAGCAACTGGCCAATATCCCGTAAAATGGAAAACACACATACCCTAATACCTACTAGTTCCCCTTCTAGGGTGTCTGTCACCTGCATACACTAGGGACACGATGCACGGATAGGCATGCGGCAGTGTTTGGAAAAAATCTACCCATGGGGGAATGAATAAAGAAATTGCAATTAATTCATATAAATATACGGGACAAAGTGAGCATTCTCTATGTAGATCACCGATTAATTTTAAAAATACAGTGAAAACAAAAAGTTGCAAAAGGATCCACTCAATGTATTTACGTAAAATTTCATGTGACATTTACATAAAATTTTAAAACACACATGCAATCTTATATTGTCATGAGTATGTCCATAAATAGTACAGAATTATAAGAAACATGCATGGGAATGATGGGTCCGTCTGAGAAGGGAGGAAGAGGGGGACGTGGGGGAGAGGTCTATCTATCCATCTATAACTATACATCTACATATGTAGGTTTATATATATTTACATATACATATAAAACACACATATTTATATACATGATAGCACTTATATATATGGCTATAGATACACATACATACATATATAGCATTTAATTCTCAAAAACATTCTTAAAATAAAAGATCTAAAGCTATGGCAAAATGATAACATTTTAATCTGGTAGTAGGTATATAAGTGTCTGTCATATCATTCTTGTAAGTTTTATTTATCTTGTAAAAATTATTTTGTTCAAATTTGTTTATTTAGAGAGTGTGTGGGTGCAAGTGGAAGAAGGGTGGAGGGGGGAGAGAAAGAGATAGAGAGGGAGAGAGACAGAATCTCAAGCAGGCTTCACACCCAGCGAGGAGCCCAACAAAGGCCTCAATCCCACAAACTGTGAGATCATGATCTGAGCCAAAATCAAGAGTCCCACGCTTAATGCACTGAGCCACCTAGGTGCCCCATGTTTGAGTTATTTTTAAATATGACAAAGGTAAGCTATTTAGAAACTAGAGAATGGTACAAAGAAGAAAATACATTTCCCTTGTATTCTGTCATTCCAACATTACCACTGCTGACATTCTGGTATATTTCCTTTCTGTCTTTCTCTAAGCTTATTTCTTTTTATATATTTTAACATTTAATGGATAGCCCTTGGTACATACAATTTTCTATCCTCCTTCTACTTAAAAGGTCCTTATGGTGCTTTAAGAAGATAAGCTGGACCTGTTGCACCTGATTTGGGAAAATAATTCTATTTGGAATTTTTAAAAAAATGTTTATTTACTTATTTTGTGAGAGAGCGTGCACTCACATGGGGGAGGAGCAGAGAGAGAGAGAGAGACGATCTTAAGCAGACTCCATGCTCAGCAAGGAGCCTCACTCAGGATTCAATCCCATGAACCATGACATCATGACCTGAGCCAAAATCAAGAATCAGACGCTTGGGGCACCTGGGTGGCTTAGTCGGTTAAGCATCCAACTTTCGCTTAGGTCATGATCTCGCGGTTCATGGGTTCGAGCCCCGCGTCGGGCTCTGTGCTGACTGCCAGCTCAGAGCCTGGAGCCCGTTTCAGTCTGTGACTCCCTCTCTCTCTGACCCTCCCCTGCTCACTCTGTCTCTCTCTCTCTTTCTCTCTCTCTCCTAGAAATAAATAAAACATTAAAAAAAAAATCAGACACTTAACCGACTGAGCCACGCAGGTGCCTCTATTTGGAATTTTTATCTCAGAGCTCTCACACTATCTAGCTCTGAGTCAGTACAGGGTGTCAGCCGAGATGCCCTCTTGTTCAAGCAGCTGTCTCCAGGAGAAGAGCTGAAACATCTTGGCAGAGAATGGTGTGTGTGTTTAAGGGTTTTCATGTTGGTTTTTAAAGAAAACTGAGAACAGGGACGCCTGGATGTCTCAGCCTGTTAAGCGTTGGACTTGGGCTCAGGTCATGATCTCACAGCTTGTGAGTTTGAGCCCTGAGTAGGACTCTGTGCTGACAGCTCAGAACCTGGAGCCTGCCTCATATTCTGTCTCTGTCTCTGTCACTCTCTCTCAGCTCCTCCTTCCCTCTCTCTCTCTCTCTCTCTCTCTCTCTCTCAAAAATAAACATTAAGAAAAAAAGAAAATCGAGAACAATGCACCTTTACCTTTACAATATATTTCCTACAACCCACATAGAATTCAGTAGCTGTTTTCCTTTTAAGAGAGAAAGAATCTACACATTAATTGAGCACAATGGTAAAATTTTTAAAAGGGTGAAGAGGGTGAAAATGACAAGCTTTTACACTTTTGAAACAATGAGGACTGGGGTCTAGAGTTACACAGCCCCAAACTGCTAGATAGGCTTTCGGAGATGCTCACCAAAAGTTTCATGTCTAGCTTTTTCAGTTGCTTCTTTTATCTTCTGGTCATGAACCTGAAAGTCCCAGGCTTCTGTGTCTCCCTGGGAATGGAAAACAAAGGGAGAGGAGTTAGAGTCAGATGATTTTAGTTGGTTCATACCAATCCTACTTATCTTTTTAAAGCCTTGTTCCACTGTTAACTAGTCGTCTTAGGTACACATCAATTCTTTTCATACATTTTCATACCTTTTCAGCCTGTCCCCAGAGCTTCCTTCTCCCTTTCTCTTAGTTTATAGATATCTGCAGAACAGGGCTTAGGCAACCCCTCCTCCAAGAAGCAATCTCTGATTTCCTCTCCCAGTCTCAGTCTGTGCGCCCCTGATACCCCATGCTCCCCTCCCTCACAGCACTGATTCCACTGCATATGAATGTGGCCATTTTTTATTTTTTGTAATATAGTTAAATTTTTTAGAGTACTTTATTTATTTATTTAAATTCAAGTTAGTCAACATACAACGTAGTATTGGTTTCAGGAACAGAACCCAGTGATTCATCACTTACATATAACACCCAGTGCTGATCCCAAGTGCACTCCTTAATGCCCATCACCCATTTAGCCCCGCCCCTCCTCCCTCCAGCAGCCCTCAATTCATTCTTTGTACTTATAATTTTTTAATGTTTATTTTTGAGAGAGAGAGCATGAGTTGGAGAGGGACAGAGAGAGAGAGAGAGAGAGAGAGCGGGAGACACAGACTCTGAAGCAGCTCCAGGCTCTGAGCTGTCAGCACAGAGCCCTCCCTGGGGACCCACAAAACCCTGACATCATGACCTGAGCAGAAGCTCGAGGCTCAACCGGCTGAGCCACCCAGGCGGCCCTGTCTTCTGTATTTAAGAGCCTCTTATGGTTTGCCAGTGTGACCGTTTTAATGCCAGAGTCCACTGGGCCATGAACTCTGCAAGGTCAGGCAGGGATCGCCATGCGCCCCATTTCCTGGGGCAGCCCAAGAGTACCACAAAATAGTAACTCCGCGGGCGCTGGCCTGTGTCTAATGAAGAGACTGGAAGGAACCCCCGGCGGTGCAGAAAACTCGGCTCAGAGAAAGGAGAGCCTTGTGGTCTCTGGTTAGCCACTCCCTGCAGGCAAGCCCCGCGCCTCTCCCGCAAGAGAGGGCGCAGTAGGTGGTCTGCGAAGGTCTCCCCGTCTTCGGCGCTAAACACGAGCTGTCTCCGCAGCGGAGCTGGTGCCGCCTGCGGCCGCGCCTGGATCAGCAGTCTCGCAGCAGGGGCTCGTCCCTGGCCTCCCGCCGCCCACCCGCTCGCTGCCCCCGCCCCCTACACATGCCCACCGGGCAGACGACCTCACCCCGAGGAGCCTGCTCCTGGCGTTGAAGATCCGTTTCTGCCTGCACAGCTCCCCGCGACTCCTCTTGGCCAGGCGTAAGTGCTGCTCCAGGTCCCTGGGCTGCGCTACCTCCATGGCTGCAAATCGCGAAGAAACTCCAAGGGGGTTTTAAGACAAGCGAGATGAAAAGGGAAAGACAACCAAAATAATACCAGCGGTGGTCTCAGCGAGGCTGGCTCCCTAGGAGGCCGCGCGGGCGCGACGCGAGCCGGCTCCTCCAGCTTTCAGCCCGCGGCCTCTGCAAAGGCGCGGAGACCCGCGCTCCTCGGAAACGTAAACAACCCGGTTGCTTGGGAACCGCGCGGCGCTCGCCGGAGTCTCGCTGTCCTCTCGCGAGACGCCGCGGGCACTTCCCGCGCTTTTCCCGCCGGCGTGTGCGGACGCCGCTTGAGGCGCGGACGGCGCAGCCATGGGCCGTCTGGAGCTGTTGCTCGTGGAGAACTTTAAGTCGTGGCGGGGCCGCCAGGTCATCGGCCCCTTCAAGAGGTTCACCTGCATCATCGGCCCCAACGGCTCTGGTAACTGGGACCCTGAACGCCTCTCCCCTCCCGGTCGTCCAGAACCCGTTTTGCCTGAGGGGACGCGAGCGCGGGCGGCCTAGCGTGCTGGACGCGCGGGGGTTGCGGTCCTCCCGGTGCCGGACCCCGGCCCTGAGCCCCCGGCCCTGCGTCCGCCGCCGCCGGGTGCCCGCCTTTGCTCTCCGCCCGAGTCCTCTACCCCCAGCACTCCGCTCCCGCCCCCACGTCGCTTCCCCGCCGGGGAACCCTCCGTTCCTCCCCCCACACGAACGTCTCCCCGCCGGGTGCCCACGCCCGTGCACACCCAGCCCCCTGCCCCGCCCGGTGCCCCCGACCGTCCCCGCTCCCCGAACGCCTCCCCGACCGTCCACCCCCAGCCCTCCGTCGCCCCCCCTACGCCTCCCCGACCGTTCCCTCCCCCCGGCTCTCTGCCCCCCCTTCGAACGCCTCCCTGTCCAGTGCCCCCGCCTGTCCACCCCCAGCCCTCTGCCCCACCCGGTGCCCCTAACCGTCCACCCCCAGCCCTCCATCGCCCCCCCC